ATAGATAAGAGAAGAAGGAAAAATGCAAGGGGGGAGCAACAACATGGGGACTATGTGGGGACTGAGGCAGAGATGCAAATGACATTAAATTAGTTGTCTAGGCTGGAAAATGGTGTCTTGAATATGGATGAATTTAAAATAAATAAATAATTTGTTGAGTACCATGACTTAGTGTGGTGAGCAGGTTTAGAATGGTTGCTGAAGAGTTACATTATAAAAGATCTGTGATCCAGGCAGAAGATTCAGAATTAGCACAGTATGAAATCCAGAACCTTAAGCAGAAGGAATCAGTGATAGGAAATATAAATTTAGTAACAATGTGTAGAATAGAATGGAGTGGGGAAATGCAAGATGTCTTGAGTGCCTGGAGCCACATGTCCACTGGGAGATCCACGAATGAGGATATTGGGGCCAGAATCAGGCTTGTTGAAATAAGAGAGTGACATGTCCAATGGGCAAGGATTGGGTTTAGTGACACAAATGAGTAAAAGGGGCACTTTATGTTGAACCTGGGTAATCATGAGGAGAGGCAGTGCTACTAACAGGCAGAAATATTTTCAGAAGTCAGTTTTGTCACAGATTTGAGGTCATGATAACATCCAAGAAGGGAATCTTCTAGCTGAGACTTGTAGATTGGAGGAGAGTACATGACTTACCAATTTGGAAGCGACTAATCTGACTAATTTGTTATTTAAAGCTATAAGCAGGGAAGAAAACATTTAGTCATACCCATATTTATCCCATAAGTTTTAATTGAGCACTTTCTGTAAGCCGGCCACTGTGTTAGGAGCACAAAACAGAATTTAATGAGAGAAATCAGAGGAAGAGAATGAGGGAGTAAGGTCAAGGAATTGCATCTTGGAAGACTCCTGTAGTTGAGTTAGGATGAAGGCAGAATTGTGAATGAAGAAAACCTCTCTCTCAAGGGAAAGTAGCAGAAGGAGAATGAAGATGGTATTGGAAAGGGTTTGAAAAAGAATGTGATTAATTGTGGGGAATTCAGCTGAGGCTGAGAAAAATAAAATTGGGAAATCCACTAGGCTTGGCAACCAAACCAAACCAAACCAAACCCAAGTCCCACAAACATCAAAAATCTGTTAGAGAGGAGGGGCACCTGGATGGCTCAGTCAACTGAGTGTTGGACTCTTGGTCTCAGCTCAAGTCTTGATCTTGGAGTCATGGGTTTGGGCCCCGAGTTGGGCATGGAGCCCACTTAAAAAAAAAAAAATCTCTTAGAAAGGAGTAGTCAGGAGAAGAAGGTGGAGTTGAGACAGATGAAGAAGGAGCCAGAGAGAAGTAAAAGTGGAAACAAGGTAGGATGCCACACTGATGGATGGCTAAGGATTATAGGGAAGAAAAAACGAGCTCACCCTCTAAGATGGAAGGGAAGCACAAAGGAGATATGATTTATTTTCAATGCAATCATCCTCTTTCAAAATTAAATGCATTTATTTACATAAATCTATAATCATTAAATATTTCTTGCCCATGATGTAATCTACTATAATTATATGTGCATTTTAAAGTACACATTTAATGAACACTGACTTTGAACTAACGGAATTTCCATTAATATTATGATAGTATTGGATTTTTATGTGGCTCTTCAGCAGCATTGTTTAGATTAAATCTAATAAATTACAAAGTATCTAGTGGGAAAATAAATTGCTCATTTTCTATTTTCCCTTTAATTTTTTTGTTTTGTTTTTGTGGACAAATGAAAGTTAATATTCACACTTTGTTTCCCCCAAGTTGGAGAAATTTTCATGGGGAATGGAGAGTGTAGGAGGTAAGCAACTTTCAGGGAAAGAAATGATTTCCAGATCTGATGATGTTCCAGGTGTAGAACAAAAGCATGGATTCAAGAAAAAAAATTGGTTTAAAGAATCAATAGTATATTTGGTAAGAAGTAGAAAATAGGTGGAAGAAGACTATAAAACTTAGTTTTATCATCACATGTTTGGCGAATTTATTAGTGGTTTTATGGAGAGGGCTGTTGTGGTAAAAGAAACAGGTGTGTTTTACAAATGAAAGATTGGGGGTACAAAAGTTCTGAATTTTAGTTAAGAGTGGCAAAAAAAAATCATCATTTATAATTAACACAAGGGCACTGGTACAAAAATGAAAAGGAGAATATGAGGAAGATGAACAATAATGTAGTAAATTTTTCATTTTATTGAATGTGGTGAATTTTTACTAATGAAGAGTTGGAAGTACTGATGTAATAATATATTATCAATAATTGGGAAATTAAATAGAAATTTCTAGAAGACTAAATGAATGTTCATACAGTAAGGAAATACTTTCCAGAACAACTGAGCATTTTGGGGATGGGGAAAAACAGCAGCCACAATTCCTTATAGGTACAGGGAAGTCCAAAATCCAAAAAGGAATAGATACTAAGTGAATAAAATCCTAGGACAGAAGAATTCCACAAAACAAGCATTTGCTGCAGTTCTAGTGTCCTTAAGGCATTGCACGAGGCAAGATGGTTTCCAAAGTATAAAAGGCACAGAACAAAATCAAACCCAAACAAAACCTAGAAATAAGAGTAGGGTCCTCCTCTTTAAAAGCCTTACACATGTTGCAGTCAGTAACATAAGACTCTTATCCAAACAAAGAAACAAACACACGATATGTCTTAATACAAAATATTTGCTGCAAAAAGTGGTTCAAATAAAGTACCCAATCTCAGCTTCAGATTATCTAATGAAAACTCAGCCCTCACCCGGCATCTGAAACAAGGGTTTTTAACTCTCATGGTCAAATAAATACCATACTGAGGTTGAGTTGATACTAATTTGGTAAAGGGTTGATTTGGCCCAATCAAAAGTTTATTTTGAAAATATTCATTTTAATCCAGGGAAAATTGCCTCCTAAATGGTTATTTATTTAAAAAGTAACCCGTATGACTTATTTGACCTGTTCCCCAGTGCTGTGTAAAAATGCCAGTAGTTTCCTTTCAAAAAATGCTTGTACACTCCTAAGATTTTCATATTCTAACATCCTCTCTAAAATAGCACCTTTCAAAAGAACTTAGTTAATTCTCCGCTTGAAAGTTATTTTTACTGCACAGATATGTTAGTTTGTCAAACAATGTCAGGCTGATTCTCTTTATACAGTGGTTCTCCTGAGGACGTAAAAATGCTCCCAGTTGCATTTCAGTTGGTATTCCTATTTATAATCCTGGCATGTAGGAGGTTCTCAAGTAAAATTTAAGGAATAAATGCAAATGGTGTATATTGTAGAAGGGACTTTATTGTATAGCATTTGACAGAGCATTTTTCATATTGGAAACTGGTTCTTTGGAACACCTTTTAATACCTGCCAGACCCAGGGTTCCTGGATACATGGATGCTTACAAAGACTGCCCCAAATCCAATACAATCAGGGCAAATACTCAAGGAAAGGTTTTTGCTCAAGAGTGACTTAGCAAATAATGGTTTCAAAGAAATAGGACATGACTAAGTGATCGGGACAAAGGATAATAATTGCTATATCTCGAAGTAGCAACCTGATTATGTCATTCATTTGCTCAGAGATTTCTCTCGTTCTCCATTCCCTGTAGAGTACATTCCATACCTCTTACCTTGATATTCAAATAGCTTTATTATTTGGCCCAGTATATCAGACTCTATTTTTTGTTTCTCCCCCCGCCAGGGAAGAATGTAGAAAAATAATCACTGCCCTTGCAGAGTCTGTGTTCTCGTGGGAAGAACAGACAATAAACAAAAGAAATGAGTGCAACACGAGTGGGTATAGGGTGATAAAGGCTATGAAGAAATGTTAAGTAGGGGTGGTAGATAGATGGAAGGTAGCAGTTATAAATAAGGATCTTCAGGGACGTCCTCTACTACATGGTGACCTTGAACACGACCAGGAGGTGGTGAGGGACTGAGTTGCATAGATACACGAAGTAAAATTTGCAGGCAGAATTACAGCAATGATGAGAGCCCTGAGTGGACTGTGGTTGGAGTGTTTTGAGACCTAAGTCATGTGATTTCTCTTTACTTTCTCGCTACTTCTGTGTCACTTTCTATTTCCAGTAACTCATCCAGTCAGTTTGCAATTTGATTGTCTATGTACTTTTCAACCTCACTAAGTTGGAGGTTCATTGAAGGTCTGTTCTGGGTTTTATTCATCTTTTTATTTTCAGTGTCTAGAGTCATGTTGTTGTTTTTTTTTTTTAAGCTCTCAATAAATATTAATTGAATTGAATGCATATTTCTCAATTTACCTTTCCCTCACCCATCCCCTCCTGAGCACAGTTGTAGACTTTATGATAATAATGACAGCACCTGACAAGGTAGGGATTCCTGAAGCTCCAAGCTTTCTCTAGGAACCTGAGATGGATCTTTATAGAGGATGGGAGATTCTCATTGTTTTGGGTAAGAGTTGGGGGTTACTTTTCTGCAACTGAAGGATTTTCTTTCTCATGTTCCTGTTGGGTTGGCAAGGGCTTTTACTGTTTGGAGGCCATGTAGACCATGAGGTCAAATACATGGTTGCTATAGTCCTATTAATTCTCACACTGGGAGATGAGCTTCACGAAATGGTCATTAAGGGCCATCCAGTCTCAGCATCAAAGATGAAGGAGTGGTTTTCACTTTTAATATCATAGGAGGCAGCCTGATCTTTCATACAGCCCGAGATGATCTTCAGAGGTCCCTCAATATCTGCTTCAGAGCCTTCTTGGTGTATTTGGGTTAAAAATACCCTCTTCCCCTGCCCCCACCAATTCATGTTCACCCAGAACCTCAGAATGTGACCTTATTTGGGAAAAGTTTTCGGTGTTTGCGGATATAATCAAGTTGTGGTAATAATAGATTAGGGTGGGTCCTAATCCAATGACTGGTGTCCTTATATAAAAGAAGAGGGAAATCTGGACAAAGATATGCACATAGGGAAGGCGATGAGTAGATACACAGGAAGAACACCATGTGAAGATAGAGGCAGAGACTGAAAGATGTATCTACAAGCCAAGGAATAAAAAGAATTGCCAGGAACCACCAGAAGCTAGGAGAGAGGCATGGAGCAGATTTTCCCTCTGCCCCCCCAAAAGCAACAACTCTGCTGACACCTTGATTTTGGACTTCTGCTCTCTTGAACTGTAAGAGAATATGTTTCAGTTGTCTTTAGTCAGTCAGTTTGTGGTAACTTGTTAAGAAACTCTAAAAAAATAATACAGGTAATTTTCTCTAGGCAGTAGGTCAGATTCAATATGGATAGATTGAGTGTGGGGACACGGAAGACCATTCTAGCCAGCATCCCCGTTGATTCTGGGATGACCCTGCCCACAGTGTGAGCAGGGACAATGCTCCAGGCAGCATCATGGCCATAGTACCACTGCCAGAAGACTATCTTTGGTCTTCTGGGTAACAGTGATGTCATGGACAGTGATCATTAGACTTTTGTTAGTTTTCTCATAATGCCAAAATTATCAGGGATGACCTTGGTTAGCAGAGTCAAGCACTTGGTGGCATACAAGGCTTTGGGGATGTGTCACTTCTCATGATTTAGTCTCATCTTAGAAATAGGCATTATTAGCAGAAGGGGGAGAATATTCCTTTGGCTTCATTCTTAAAGTGAGGCTGAGTATTTTTTTTAAAAGATTTTATTTATTTATTTGAGAGAGAGAGAGGGTGAGAGAGTATAAGCGGGGGGGGGGGGGAGGGGCAGAGGAAGTGGGAGAAGCAAGTGGGGCTTGATCCCAGGACCCTGGGATTATGATCTGAACTGAAGGCAAATGCTTAACTGACTGAGCCACCCAGGCAACCCAGGCCCAATATTTTTAAGGTGGTTAAGACAAGAAAACTTTGTGGAGTGTTGGATATGTTTATTACCTTAATTGTGGTGATGGTACCATGGGTGTTTGTTTATGGCCAAACTCATCAAATTATACACATTAAATATGTGCAGTTCTTGGGCGCCTGGGTGGCTTAGTTGGTTAAGCGACTGCCTTCGGCTCAGGTCATGATCCTGGAGTCCCTGGATCGAGTCCCGCATCGGGCTCCCTGCTCAGCAGGGAGTCTGCCTCTCTCTCTGACCCTCCCCCCTCTCATGTGCTCTCTCTCTCTCTCACTCTCTCAAATAAATGAAAAAATAAAATCTTAAAAAAAAAAATATGTGCAGTTCTTCATATATCAATTTTACCTCAATAAAACTGTCAAAAAGAAAGATACAGTGGACTTCACAACATATTCAGCACTGGCATCACCATGTTGATACTGATGGTATCTCTCTTCTAGAAGATGGAGTTAGGCTTCCTATTCACTATGAGTGTTATGTTCTCAGCCTTGATAGTACAATTGAACTTGCGTCGATTGAATCATTCTTGTTGGGGTCAATGAAAGGGTTATTTATGGCTACAATAGTCACATTGCCAGAGTTGAATATGGCCCTGGTCACAAGGTACCCAGTACAATCCAATCTGTTTACTCTAATCTTCACCATGATACCTTACGAATGCAGTTGGCATTGGACCCAAAGGTGCGGCTTTTGGTTGAAGGAGGAACAGAAGCTCAATTTAGCTTTCATTGGTTTGTTTCCATAAGCTGTTATAAAATGGAAAGGTAAGAGTTTAAAGCTTTTCTTTTTTTTTTCAAACAATATGTACAAAGCAAGACAATGTTTGGCTATTATATATATATATTTTCCCTCTCAGTAAAGCAATCAATAAAAGTTGTTTTTGCCAGAGTTACTTGTTTTTGAAAAACCCCATATTGCCAAGTTGGCTTTTCTGTGAGTATCAGAAACAGGCAAGAACCTGTTTTTTTTTTTATAAGATAGCTTTTATACCATTGTCACAAGCTTCTGTTGAGTGATGCATAGCTTAGCAACCAAATGTTGACATCTCCTGGAATGCTCCTTGATTAAAACATGGGCATTGTAAATATCTCCCATTTCATAACTAATATTTAATGACTCCAGAATGTATGTCAAGAATTCCCACCCATTCCCTATAAAACAGGCAAGAATGTACTGAGCAATATAGGTGTATTTTATAGGTGGTGAGATAGATGTAGATTGAAATGACGTTTAGGATGTGATAATTGCCCTGATAAGTAGTAATAGTAAACTTTTTGTATAAAGTACATTTCCTAAATAGTAAACTTTTTGTATAAAGTACATTTCCTAAATTTTCTTTCTTTTTTAATTTCAAGTTTTTATTTAAATTCTAGTTAACATATAGTGTAATATTGGTTCAAGAGTAGAATTTAGTGATTCATCACTTACATATAACACCCGGTGCTCAACACAAGAAGTGTCCTCCTTAATGCCCATCACCCATGTAATCCATTCCCTGCTCACCTCCACTCCATCAAGCTCAGTTTGTTCTCTATAGTTAAGAGTCTCTTATGGTTTGCCATCCTCTCTTTTCTTTTTTTTCTTCCTTCCTCTCTGTTCATCTATTTGTTCTTAAATTCTACATATGAGTAAAATCGTGTGATATTTGTATTTCTCTGACTTATTTTGCTTAGCATAATACACTTTAGCTCCATCCACATAGTTGCAAATGGCAAGATTTCATTCTTTTTTATGGCTGAGTAATATTCCATTATATATATAACCACTTCTTTTTATGTATTTATATTCCATTATCTATCTATCATCTATCTATCTATCTATCTATCTATCTATCTATCTATCTATCTATCATCTCTTCTTTATGTATTTATCAGTCGTTGGACATTTGGGCTCTTTCCATAGTTTGGCTATTGTTGATAATGCTGCTATAAACATAGGGAGCATGTGCCCCTTTGAATCAGTATTTTTGTAGCCTTAGGGTAAATACCTAGTAGGACAATTGCTGGGTTGTAGGGTAGTTCTATTTTTAATTTTTTGAAGAACCTCCATACTGTTCTTCAGAGTGGTTGCACCAGGTTGCATTCCCACCAACAGCATAAGAGTGTTCCCCTTTCTTTGCATCCTCACCAACACTTGTTGTTTCCTGAGTTGTTAATTTTATCCATTCTGACAAGTATGAGGTTGTACCTCATCATGGTATTGATTTGTATTTTCCTGATGATGACTGATGTTGAGCATCTTTTCATATGTCTATAAACAATCTGGATGTCTTCTTTGTTTGACCATTTATTAACTGGATTATTTGGTTTTGGGGTGTTGAGTTTGATAAGTTCTTTATAGATTTTGGATACTAATCCTTTATCAGATATGTCATTTGCAAATATCTTCTCTCATTCTGTAGGATGCCTTTTAGTTTTGTTGATTGTGTCCTTCGTTGTGCAGAAGTTTTTATCTTGATGAAGTCCCCATAGTTCATTTTTGCTTTTGTTTCCCTTGCCTCTGGCAACATGTCTAGTAAGAAGTTGCTACAGCTGAAGTCAAAGAGGTTGCTGCCTGTGTTCTCCTCTAGGATTTTGATGATTTCCTGTCTCACATTTAGGTCTTTCATCCATTTTGAATTTATTTTGTGTATGGTAAAAGAAATGGTCCAGTTTCATTCTTCTGTGTGTCACTGTCCAGTTTTCCCAACACCATTTGTTGAAAAGACAGTCTGTTTTCCACTGGATATTCTTTCCTGCTTTGTCAAAGATTCGTTGACCATAGAGTTGAGTGTCCATTTCTAGGTTCTCTATTCTGTGCCATTGATCTATGTGTCTGTTTTTGTGCCAGTACCATACTGTCTTGATGATGACAGCTTTGTAATAGAGCTTGAAGTCCGGAATTGTGATGCCACCAGCTTTGCTTTTCTTTTTCAAGATTGCTTTGGCTATTTGGGATCTTTTGTCATTCCATACAAATTTTCTTTCTTCATTTTATATTGAGTGAAATACTCATTAAGTAGAAAGTTATAGGTATTATGACTAATGTAATTGTACTTGGCAGATTTGAAGTTGCAGAAATAAGTATGAAAAGTAATACCAACTTGTGATAATAAACTTCTTGATACTCTTGCCACTATGTTTAAATTCTATGGGAAGAAAAAATAGGTTTGGATAGGGTTTAGTTAAAAACATATAAAGGCCATGTTGTCTGGAAACTATAAGCTGTGTCTCAGAGGATGTCTGAGGGATAGAGCCATGCTTTCTGTAATAAGTAGGGAAGATTTCTCTTTACATAGTGTTTTCATGGAACTGAAAAAGACAGCCTTAGACAACATGTAGTCCAAGGCCATGATATTTCAGCTGGAGATACCGAGGATTGAAGAAAAGAGATCATTTAACCCTCAGAAGAGCAGATATTAATACTATTTACGAATGTACACAAAATTTTCAAATCAGTCCATTTCTTTGGGGTTCCTATAGAACAAGCAGATAAACAATCATACATGACATTCCTATTTTCCCGAGTTTGCTGATTTGGGAATGGGCTGTTTATGTAGATGTGCTTCGATAAACTAATAAAATTAGAGTAAAAAATTACAAAGTTAAATTTATGGAATGGAACTTATGGAATTTATGGGGAAGGAAAAGCTGAACCATTAGTTCTAAATTTGGCCCTCACATAATGAGAAAAGAATGTGTCTTCAAAACATGTTTTCTTGTCTGTAATTTTGTTTAGTTTTTAAATAAGTGGTAATAGAAGTTGACTTGCTATGTCAAGATTCTGATTTTCCACAATGTTTAAATACATATAAGCAGAGGTTTATAACAAAACAAAATGTGTCATGAATACAACGAATACATTTATCTATTAGGCCTATGAAGACCATCATTTCTATGGTGACTGAGTAGGGCAAAATACTTTTGCAGCATCAGATAAAGTCTTGTACATGAAACTGTCTCTGGATGGGAGGAGCACACAGTAAATTCTGCCACATTTGTGAGAAGCATTGTAAGGAGCGAGGTGGTGGAGCCTGTGGTGAGCCCTGCCCACTCTCATCTGCATAGGTTAGAAGTCTCTCCTGCCTCCACTACTTGCTGACACTTTGTGGTGCCCCTACCAGGGGATCTCTCTTGGGGTTTGTGCATACAGCTCTGGCTGGGGCTGGGCCCACAGATACGGCTGTGATGCTGTCTCTAGGAGCTGGGGCATCTCCCTGTCTTTTATAAAGACATATATATTCCTGCCATTGCTTGTAAATTAAATGCTTTTTGTAGCTCCAAACAGACTACTAGACTTACAGTTGGCGTTACTGACTGAATG